CCATCCGCATGCCGTGGTGGGCGTATATGGCTGTGGTCACTATCTTTTCTCATCGTTCTGCTACAATGAGGATATTAGATTTAAATGCAGTTATACATTTAACTATACTCTTTACATTTAAATATTTTTTAAAGGGGAAGTATGAGAAACTTTAATTATCAAAAACTTCGTAAATTATACCAGAAAGAATTTCTAAAATATGTTATGTATATCTTTGTATCTTCTTGATCAACCCGAGTTTGTTTTAAAAGGGTTAATGACAAAAGAGCACTAAACGTTATCTAAGCAGTTTGACCTAGTTTTAGTGTTTATTTTTTTAATAGCCCGATATAATTAGTAGAAATATTCAGAATAAGTAGACGACCTATTTCTCTACAACTAGGCGTTTACTTTGCTTAAATCTGTAAATTTTCTTAACCGTATTTCAAAAGTATACTGGCCTTTTTGGCGTTAGCAAAATTTAACTCTCAGATACGCTAATGAACACATTTCTGTAGATTTTAGTGTATACATTTGAGCAAACAAAATTACGATCTACTAAAAACTATTTAATACTCCTTTAAACTTAATAGTCTTTCTTTGTAGTTTTCAAATAATTTTATTCTAATTTGTAGATACTTCTATAACAACTTCTATGATCGATTCTACTCCACACGGTAAATCAAGTTTTATATTTATACTGACGATTTACAGATTATAACTTAATGTAATAATGTAATAAGCGACATTGATTACAATTTTAGAAGTAATAAATCTATGTACTTTTCATTGTTCAGCTACAATGAGGTTTTTATATGTAAATGTATTGTATTGATTTAAAATGATTGTAAAGAGGTATTCTAAATTCTTTATATGTATCGCGGACACTGATATCATCAAAATGCACCTTTCCAATTTTCAATCAGACCTCATGGTTCCTACAATTCCATTAAAACTAAATGTCTGATGACTTCAGTAATCGCATATTTTGGTGTCATCAAAAACTTATATTTTATTATAGGAGATGCTGTAAGGGATGACAATACTGGTAAGTAAAGATCTTCCTTCTACGCAGAATCACTGAATACTCGCTTTTCAATACTATTTATAATGTAATGAGGTTTAATAGCTACATATTAATTTCTATTTATTCCCTGATAAGATTGACGCAGATAGAGACATCACTTTCAAATAAATTATAAACACTATAATGTGTTATTACAGGATCTATAGTTGGAGGAATATTTGGTGCAATTATTATTATAGTTATTATTATAGTAGTGGTACTGTTTCTTTACAAGAGGTAAGAGTCTTTGGTATAGAATACATTGGTTATTCTATCAGATTGAATTGGTATTTGCAGTTAAACATATCGAATGCGATTTCCAAGTTTAAAAGACTGCACCTAAATGTGGGTGTCTGAAAATTCTAAATAATTCTGAGACTTTATTAAAATACATATTATGTACAAATATAATGATTTTAATTTGCAATATTTATAGCGCGTTAGTAAGGTACACTTAGGGTTTAACCCTTTATTATTACGAATCTAAAAAATTATTGTTAATCCTTATTTTATATGTTACACCTCAACAAACGAT